CCATATCTAACTATCGTCAAACCCAATTATACATAAATTTACATAATTATCCTTCATTACATTAATAAATCACGATAAAATTTTTTAGAATGTTACACATTTGCTTCCACGAGTGTACCCTTGACTAGGATAAAGGGTTGCAGACCTACTATGTAAGGTTAAGAAGTCCTGGAGATTTGGAACATTGATTTTATCTGTTATGAGGACTCAGGAATGCATCCATGAGTATACCCTAGACTAGGGTAGGGGGTTGTGGCCTTACTCTGTGAAAAGTTAAGAAGTCCTGGTAGTTAAAGCGTAGATTTTTATTCGCTAGTGAGGACACAGGAGAGCATATCACATATAGCCTTTATGGATTAAAAATCATCTTTCTCAAATAAACCTTAACTTCCAACATTGAGAAAATGAAAGAGTAAGATAGGGAAAGAATTACTTCTAACCCCTCAATTTTGCAAATCCTAGCAAAGCTCTCTCATTTCTCTTTATTCCCCTTTATCTCTTTTCTATTTTTGGCATCTAATAAAGCTTTATTTTTGCAAAATTCATGATTGTGCATCGTGGCATGTGTACCACACGCCATATCATGTCATATAGAGAGGTGAACTTCATGTTCTGGTGGCTCGTGTGTAACATTCTAGATTTTAAACCTTGAAATTTAAAGTGTTTAGAAAGGTAAATTGGTAAATTTAAGTGAATTTTAAATTAATGAAGTTTTTAGAAGACTAATATAGCTTTTAGATCATTAGACAGCCTTAGAAGAGGGTTAGGTCTGAGTTTGAGCAGATTGTGGTATGGAGAGAGGCTCAAAACGTGTCCGAGCCTCTCTATGCCATCAGTCAAGACGGACGCACCATGTGCCCTAGCAGATGTGCAAAAATATACACATATCATTTCACGCACAGACAAAACATTAGAAAGAGAAAACAAAAGAATCATGAGAGGGGTGATAGAGGAAGCATTTTGCTCTACTAGGGCTTCATCTTAGGAGCATTTCCAAAGCATTTTGAGTAAGAATCATCATTGGGTAAGCTTCTTATTCCTCTCCTGTCTCTTCTATGTGAATTTTGGTAGTTTTGGGTGTGGTTAAGGCTTGATTCATGTCTTTCTCATGGCCAATGTATACAAAGTATATAAAAAAAAACTAGAGTCTACATGCTCAATTATATTCAAAATTTTCTTAAGTTGACAAATATGCATTATATCACAAAATAAGGCATAATAACATAAATAGGTGTTTTCATACACCAAGTCTAAGCCTTAGGTGCTTTTTCGATTGGACCCGTTCTTGTAAAAATATTAACCATGGTGGATAAGACATAAAGGTCCTAGTAACCAAAATTAATATGCCATAATGTATGTCATGCAACTAATCATGTGATTGCTATATGGGATATGCAAAATAGTTTCCAAAAAATTTAATCTGAATAAATTCCAAACAATTCCAAATGTGGCCGAATAAAATATACAAGACTACCATCTTATCTCCTCCTTTGGGATGTGTACTGATGCAAGATGACAGAGTCATGGCATATGCATCTAGCCAACTAAGACCGCGTGAGGAGAATTACTTGACTCATGACCTTGAATGAGTTGCTAGACTATTTTCCTTTAAAATATAGAGGCATTATCTCTACAGTTCACATTTTAAAGTGTTTAGTAATCATAAGAGCCTCAAATATTTGATTGACTAGAAGGAGTTAAATGTGAGAAAGCAAAAGTAGATGGAGTTCTTAAATGAATACAACTTTGAATTAAAATACAATCCGAAAAAGGCCAACATTGTGGCTAATGCTTTGAGCTATAAGACAATCCACGTGGCATGGATGATGATGCACGCATAGAAGTTGCGGCACATGTGCACATGCTGTAGTGTGTCCTCTACTTTTCAACTCTTTGGTGTTTTTCAACTAAATTTGAGTCTTTTGACTACCAAAAAGGTATTCCATGCTTCTGTAATGATATTTTATTATGATTTGAGTTTACTAAATCATGTTTTAAGTATGTTTTAATTATGAAAAATTGAGATTCCATTATTGTGGTTTCACAAACTTAGTAATCCTTTTTGGATTATTTCCTTAATTACCTTGATTTTCGAAGATAAATGTGGATTAGTAAGGGTGACCTTACAACTTATTGTCTGAGCATTACATATGCAAAATCATATTCATGAGAGAAATCAGATCCATGAACACCATTTAGATCCATTTCCAGATGATGGAAAACATATGAGAATGACAATAGCAAAAGGAGTAGAGAGAAACTCACTGGAAAATAAAGACAACAACAACAACAACAACAAGAAGCCTTTATCCCACTAAGTGGGGTCGGCTACATAATTTGCAAGATGCTAATGTGCTTTATCATTTATCAAGCTTTTAGGAATATTATTAATTAAGAGATCGCGTTCAACAACTTCCAAGAGTGTTCTCTTAGTCCTTCCTCTACCCCTCTTAATCGGACTCAAAGTTATATGTTCCACTCTTCTCACTGGTGGTGCCCAAACCATCTCAACCAATTTTCTACCATTTTTTCCTCAATAGGTGCTACCCTTACTTTTTCACGTACGTGCTCATTTCGAATTTTATCTTTACGTGTATGTCCGCACATCCAACGTAACATTCTCATCTCTACTACTCCAACTTTATGCTCTTGCTGTCTCGTTAGAGCCCAGCATTTACTACTATATAACATTGCCGGTCTGATAGCAGTGCGATAAAATTTTCCTTTAAGTTTATTAGGCACCTTACGGTTGCAAATAACTCCTTTAGCTTTTTTCCAATTAAACCACCCAACTTGAATCCTATGTGAAATATCTCCACTGATTTCGCCATCATTTTGAATAATGGCTCCCAAATATCTAAACTTTTCTACTTGAGGTATAATTTGATCTCCCAATTTCACTTCCAAATTATTGTCGAATAGTCTCTTACCAAATTTACAATATAAATATTCCGTCTTACTCTTACTCAGACGGAAACCTTTCGACTCCAATGCCCTCCTCCATAACTCAAGTTTGCAATTGACCTCTTCTCTTGTCTTTGCTATAAAAACTATATCATCCGCGAAGAGCATACATTTAAGAATTTCCCCTTGGATATGTTTTGTCAAAACATTTAGGATCAAGTTGAATAGATAAGGACTCAGAGATAATCCCTAATGTAGTCCAATCTTTATAGGAAAATCCTTTGTTTGACCACTAGGTGTTCTTATACTAGTTTTTATCCTCTCATACATATCTTATATGGCTTTAATATAAGCAATCCGTAATCCCTTTTTTTCCAACGCTTTCCAAAGCACTTCTCTTGGTATACGATTATAAGTTTTTTCCAAATCAATAAAAACCATGTGTAAATCTTTATCTTTACAACGATACTTTTTCATTAATCTCCTTAGTAGATAAATCGCCTCTGTAGTTGATCTACCTGGCATAAAACCAAATTGATTCTCAGAAATACTTGTCTCCAATCTCAACCTGTGCTCAATTACTTTCTTCCACAATTTCATTGTATGACTCATGAGTTTAATCCCTTTATAGTTAGTACAATTCTGAATATCTTCTTTATTTTTATAAATAGGAATTAATGTACTTCTCCTCCATTCATGAGGCATTTTCTTGGACCGTAAGATCACATTAAATAACTTAGTTAACCATCTCACCCCTTCTTCACCTAAACATTTCCACGCTTCGATAGATATACAATCAGGTCCGTTGACTCTACCATTTGCCATTTTCTTAAGAGCTTCCTTTACCTCCTTATCACGTATTATTCGATACAATGACAAATTTTGTTCTCCTTCACCAGTTATTAAATCCTCCAAATTACTAGATGAACTCTCTCCATCATTAAAAAGTTTGGAAAATAGAGACACAATGGCAAAATAAGGAGGCTCGGACAACACACTGTAAGAGCACAGGCAAGAAGCAAGAGGTGGATGTAGAGTGAATCAATAGACTTCTTTTTGTTATTTTTTGTGCTATGGTGAGTTTTTTCCTATTATAATATATGGTTGGCTATTTTTAACTACATTTGAGTTCTTACTACCATGATAAGGTAATGGGAGATTAGTTTTTTTTTTTTTAATTACCATGATAGGTTATAGTGATTAGGGTTATATGGCATAAGTAAGTAATATTACAAAGTGATTATGCGATAAAGTATCCTGGTAGCATTAGGATACATTACAACTGCTGCCTCTATTTCATTCTAGCCTTTTCCAATATTCTCGTAGCTTTTCATTGGTTGTCATTAGTTTTATTCATATAGGTGGACTATAAAGTTGGCTATAAACCCCTCCTTGTCCATATTGCACTGTTTCAACTCATGAAATCTAGTCTCCTTCTTAGCCATAAATGTCATTGGGGAGTAATAATTGAAAAATCTACCCTTAAAAGCATCCTAGCTTAGATGCGACTCATCAACAGATGTGGCACTTTCTCACCCTTGCTTGGTAGTATCCACACGCAGCACCGTAGCTAGCAACACCCTCTGCTCAATTATATTAACAATAAAAGTTAGTCTATTGTCTTAAAATAATTTGCATGGAATAAAATAAATTTATTTTAAAGTTAAAGAAAAATAAATAATTTTTTTAACAAATTCTAAAATCAAGCAAGTTGTTTTTTTTTTAATTTTCTAAACACTAAAGATATGTGTAGGGAATAAGAATATGGTGATTTATATTTTGATTATCAGAGTTGTTCATGTTGGGGGAATAAAAATATAGTCATGCATACATTTGTTATTATGATTATTCATTTCTAGTTACTTAGACAATTCTATTTTACATATCCTAAACATTATCATTTGTTGAAAAAAAAAGAACTAAGATGTAAAAATATTAAAAAAAAAATCTCTAAAAATTTATAATATCTTTAAACCAATAATAGTTGATGAGTATTCATTAATTTACAAAAGAGATAAGAAAATAATAATACGTTAAAATTAAAAGAATTGGATGACGAAAATTAACCATCGAATTTCTATAAATAATGCTGTTAGGTGTCTGCTCGTTTCCGGCAGCCCCAGCTCCACGCTCCTCGGCCCTCCACGGCTTCCCCGCTTTTTCTTCCTGCCGCTTGATCACAATCACAGCCGCTTCTCTTCGTCGACGCAGTGAGATACTATCGACGCCGTCCCTCGCTCGTCGTCTTCAATCTTTGGCATCCTCCCTTCATTCTTCGCAGGTAATCACATCGTTTTGCCTCCAGTTTTTGCTTCTGAATGGGTGTTGTTGTGTTGCTTGCCATTCATATGAGCTTCTTTGCCCCCTTCTTCCAGCATGAATGTATTCCTTTTGATTTTATGGTTTTCTTCGCCAGAGTTTTCTGATGAATGATTGTAATTTGCAAGAAAAAAGTTTGATGATTTGTTTGATTCTCCTAGAAGTTGTCAGTTCGTGCGTGAAGTTGCTGTATTTTGGACAACTCTTTGGTATTTGCTCGTCATTCCGTAGTTAGCTGGTTGTTTTGTTTATTTGAGTTGGCATTTGTTTTTGAGATAATCTAAGATCGCTATTGCTTTGTTTTTTATGCCAAACCAAGAATCCATGAAACCGATTTGGGACCCAATTTACAACATGCATCTGGCAAGGCAAGCCAATTTCAAACCTTTAAACTCTTGATTTTAAGAAGTTTAAGAAGACAAAGATGTGATTTGAGGGATATGTTTGTTCAATATGTAGCGTATAATTGGAGGAATTTTTCTTCTGTTTCACTTCTTTGATATTTGTTTGTTATTTTAATTTTTTTCCTGAAGCTTTTGATTACAATTATGTGGAAGAAACGTAATTTGGAGCAAGTAACATATTGGGTCAGCAAGAGCCATTTTGACGTAGAAACCCTTGGTAAATTGAAGTTGAAACCACCAATATAGCCGTTACATTCTTAGCATTGCCCAATTATTTTCCCCATAGCCATGTCCTGAAAATTACAGCTAAATCTGTCAAAAATAACAAGGCAATATAGCTGATAGGCGACAGACTTTAGAGACAACACGTTGCATTGTATGTTAGGCAATAACTGTGTTTTTTCCTATAACTTTGGTGTAGGTATTATTAGCAACTTGAAAACGAGTATGCTCTGGAAAAGGGCTAAGTTTAGAAAACAGTTCTCTAAAACCATTAATGTGATGTGTAACTCCAGGATTGACCACCCAAATGTTTTTTGATCAAGTAACCATGCTTAGAGCAGTAATAAAAGCAGTACCTGCTTGAGCTAAGGTAACAGAGGGAGTAGATCTCTCATGTGGCTTTTCATGAAAATACTTATCTAGGATTCACGACAGCATGGATAACTCCTCGCTACTTACGATGTTGCTTTTGCCATCAGAATTGTTCTAACATCCCTAATTTTGGACTTAGAAGCTGAAGACAAGAATATGCCTAAATTTAGTGAGCTACTAAGCTCAGTTAGTTAGGAGTCTCAAAGGTGTCCTGAAATAGTAAAATGGTTCTTAGGGACCACATCGTAATTTAAAAGTTTTTCTAGGGCAAAAGCGTGATATTTTTAGGGACTTCAAGGAAGTGTCCTAAATTGAGGAATGAGCAAATTAAGGTCCAAAAGAGTCTAGGATAGGCTAAAATGAATAAGTAAGGCTTAAGAGGATAACAAAGACATTTAAGATCAGTCTTGGAGAGTAATTAGTACAGTTATCAAATTAAATGGAGGTAAAATTATTTGACAAAATTTATTTTTACATCCTAAGTCTCCTAGAGAAGGATTGTTGTTAGATCCTATGGATTGTAGTAGATTCAAGAAGGGCTTATCATCTTATGATCATAGACTTGATAGAAAATTACTGAGCCACAGATTATGCAATAGTTCTCTAAGAAGATGATGGCATGTGATGAGTTTAGAATACAAAAACCTCTCAAGTTTGGCTAACTATTACAAGGAGAGTATCGTTGACTTTTTTAGATAGCTTAGCTGCTAATTAGGCTAAGAAAAGAAAGAGAAGAAAATTGAGTAAAAGTAGTAGTCTATTTGGGACCCAATGGTAATTATTAATATTGAAGGGTAATTATGTGTAATTAAATATAATGAGGTTATGAAAAATTACCTAGAGTTAGAAATGAGCAATAACTTGATAATTAATTTTCAAATTTTAATTTCTAGGCTTTAATTTCAGTTTGGCCCAAACCATATGGCTTCCGACTGCATAATGAATGTGTTAGAAGTAGGGATGTAACAATTGCCAACCATCAAGCCCTTGCTTTTCCCTTTAGATTTTTGCCTCATGTGATGAGGTTTTGCCATTTAAACGAGCTAAATATGGGCTAGAAACAACTACAGTACAACAACAACAACAACAAGTCTTGTCCCACTAAGTGGAGTCAGCTACATGTATTATATGACGCTATTGTGCTTTTTCATTTATTAAGTATTTAGAAATAGTATTAGTTAAAAGGTCTCATTTAACAATCTCCAAAGTGTTCTCTTCGGTCTTCCTCTACCCTTGTTGGCAAGGCTCAAAGTCATTTGTTCCACCTTTCTCACAGGTGCCTCTTGTGGTCTTCTTTGTACATGTCCGAACCACCTCAAACGATTTTTTTACCATTTTTCCTTCAATAGGTGCCACGTCCACTTTTTCTTGTATTTGCTCATTTTGAATTTTGTCTTTACGTGTATATCCACACATCTATCTCGACATTCTCATCTCTATTGCTCCAATTTTATACTCTTATTGTGCTTTCAAAGCCCAACATTCACTACCATATAAAATTGCTGGTCTTATTATAGCTTTTCAATAAAATTTTCCTTTAAGCTTATCAAGTATCTTACAATTGCAGATAACTCTTTTAGTCTTTTTCCAATTAAACCATCTCACTTGTATCTTATGTGCAATATTTCCATTAATTTTTTTCATTTTGTTGAATAATTGCTCCCAAATATCTAAACTTTTCCACTTGAGGTATGGTCTGATCACCCAATTTTACTTCCAAGTCACTACTCACTGATCCCTTATCAAAATTATAATGTAAATATTTTGTTTTATTCCTACTCAGGCAGAAATCTTTTGACTCCAATGTCTTCTTCCATAATTCAAGTTTACAATTAATTTCTTCTCTTATCTCTACAATAAGAACTATATCATCCGCAAAAAATATGCATTTTGAAATTTCCTCTCAAATAGGCTTAGTTAAAACATCTAAGACTATATCAAATAAATAAGAACTCAAATAAGACTAGAAACAACTACTATATTTACCCATAAGACTTGTCTTCACTTGCCATCTGTATGTGGACCAGTTTGAGGCCTTTATTCGATTTGCCTCCCATATTCCATGGAGATCTCTTTAGCTCTTGATCCAACATATAGTGCCTCTATTAGTAACTTGGATTTGGATCTTGTGATCGGCTTAATTGGCAAAGACAACATCCTGGCTCTATTTGTTCATGTCACTTTCTCTTCTTGGCATTAGTACCCATGAGATGAGAGATAGGGAGAGCAGCACTTCTGGATCTGTTAAATTCATGGACACTAGTATTCCTAGAGGCTTTGAGGGGCCGTATATCAAGCATTCAAACTTCAACAATGTTTATTTTAGCTTTTTGTTCAATAGTTTCAATCCTTTGGTGTTCTAGTGTTGATGGGATGGGTGGTTTTCATGGCTTTACTTTGCTGCCACGCATTTTGGTGTTTTAGAGGGATCTCTCTGATGCGTGCAGAGTTTGATCAGCTTTCATTTTCACCTAAGCTACTTCAGTAATCTTTTTCTCCTTCTTTTCTTTTGTTCTTCCTTTTTTGCTTTAGAAGGATATCTGTTACTCCCATTTGTTCTAGCATTTATTCCATTACAGAAAATTCGTGCGTTCATAAGATGTTTTAAAATTTTGCTCATTGATGCTATATTTCAATTTCGTGACATGGACTCTAAACATAGAAGGGAAAAGAAAGAAAGGCAGTCATGGATAGAATAAAATTGCATCTGCATTGTGTCCTCACGTGGAATTAGTATTTCTTAGTGATCCAATACTAATGAGTCGATGTTGTTGACATTTGAATATTTGTTTTTTTCCTTAAAAATTTCATGCTTGAATATTTCTTGTGTCCTAAATCTTTATGTTATTAACATTTTCTCGGTGGATTGCTATGTTTGAATTGTAGAATAATGGGGCGGAAAGCTGGTGGACTTTATATTAATCCTAAGAGATATGGTTCACTTCACAAACCTTGCATGAAGGAAATGATGACTTTTCTCAGCTGTTTGGCTGCTAGCCATGGCAACAGTGATGTGTGCACTCGGCAGAAAGAGTTATTAAAAACCTGTTTGGATTCACAGGTAATGTAGATTTTTGAAGCACGCCTGTTCATTTTTCTTATCCCTTGCTCTCCTATCCTTAGCCATGCCTGCGCATGCTTATATATGTACATCCTCCAGTCCCTTTTACAAGCTTGCCTTTAAGTATTTTTATTGAAACTAAAAAAAAGTAGTTATATCATTAACTTTGAATGAACTTCCAATTTTATTTGCATTTTCAAATTTGCATTACATTCTCGTTCATAATTAATGAATTTAAATAAAAATAATATTTAAAAGGTATAATTACTATCCCATTAAGTGCTTATATTAAGGACAAAAAATTCTTTCTTGAAGGTGCCCTATAATAGGATTAGAGTAGTATATATATCATGTTATAGGAGAACTAAACAACAATAACAACAACAAGTCTTTATCCCATTAGGTGGGGTCGGCTATATAGATTGCAAGACGCCATTGTGCTCTATCATTTATCAAGCTTTTAGGAATATTATTAATTAAGAGATTGCGTTCAACAACTTCTAAGAGTGTTCTCTTAGGCCTTCCTCTACCTCTCTTAATCAGACTCAAAGTTATATGTTCCACTCTTCTCACTGGTGCCTCCCTTGGTCTTCTTTGGATATGCCCAAACCATCTCAACCGATTTTCTACCATTTTTTCCTCAATAGGTGCCACCCTAACTTTTTCGCGTATGTGCTCATTTCGAATTTTATCTTTACGTGTATGTTCGCACATCCATTGTAACATTCTCATCTCTGCTACTCCAACTTTATGCTCTTGCTGTCCCGTTAGAGCCCAGCATTCACTACTATATAACATTACCGGTCTGATAGCAGTGCGATAAAACTTTCCTTTAAGTTTATTAGGCACCTTACGATCACAAATAACTCTTTTAGCTTTTCTCCAATTAAACCACCCAGCTTGAATTCTATGTGAAATATCTCCACTGATTTCGTCATCATTTTGAATAATGGCTCCCAAATATCTAAACTTTTCCACTTGAGGTATAATTTGATCCCCCAATTTCACTTCCAAATTATTGTCGAATAGTCCTTTACTAAATTTACAATATAAATATTCTGTCTTACTCCTACTCTGACGAAAACCTTTCGACTCCAATGTCCTCCTCCATAACTCAAGTTTGCAATTAACCTCTTCTCTTATCTCTGCTATTAGAACTATATCATCCGCGAAGAGCATACATTTCGGGATTTCCTCTTGAATATGTTCTGTCAAAACATTTAAAATCAAGTTGAACAAATAAGGACTCAGAGATGATCCCTGATGTAGTCCAATTTTTATAGGAAAATCCTTTGTTTGACCACTAGGAGTTCTTATACTAGTTTTTACCCCCTCATACATATCTTGAATGGCTTTAATATAAGCAATCCGTACTCCCTTTTTTTCCAACGCTTTCCAAAGCACTTCTCTTGGTATGCGGTCATAAGTTTTTTCCAAATCAATAAAAACCATGTGTAGATCTTTATCTTTACAACGATACTTTTCCATTAATCCCCTTAATAGATAAATCGCCTCTGTAGTTGATCTACCTGGCATAAAACCAAATTGATTCTCAGAAATACTTGTCTCCAATCTCAAACTGTGCTCAATTACTTTTTCCCACAATTTCATTGTGTGGCTCATGAGTTTAATCCCTCTATAGTTAGTACAATTCTGAATATCTCCTTTATTTTTATAAATAGGAATTAATGTACTTCTCCACTCATCAGGCATTTTCTTGGACCGTAAAATCACATTAAATAACTTAGTTAACTATCTCACCCCTTCTTCACTTAAACATTTCCACGCTTCAATAGATATACAATCAGGTCCGTTGGCTCTACCATTTGCCATTTTCTTAAGAGCTTCCTTTACCTCCTTATCACGTATTATTCGATAGAATGACAAATTTTGTTCTCCTTCACCAGTTACTAAATCCTCCAAGTTACTAGATGAATCCTTTCCATCATTGAAAAGTTTAGAAAAGTAAGTCTCCTATTTATTTTTAATTTCATCATCTGTAACTAAAATTCTTCTCTCTTCATCCTTAATACACTTTACCTGTTCTAGATCTCTTGATTTTCTTTCCCTACTCTTGGCAATTTTATAAATATTTTGCTCTCCTTCCTTCGTCTCAAGGTTCTTATAAAATTCTTCAAAAGATTTAGAACGAGCTTCACCCACAGCTCTCTTAGTTTCCTTCTTAGCCATACGGTACCTCTCCCAATTTTCCTCATTGTTACACAAATGTATGGCTTTAAAACAGTTCTTCTTATACTTGATTTTGTCTTGTACACTATTATTCCACCACCAAGACTCCTTATCTCTTGGACTAGAACCTTTCGATTCTCCCAAAACTACTTTTGCAACCTCCCGTATTTTTTTAGCCATATCCTCCCATATGATATTAGCACTTCCCTGAGATTCCCAAATTCCTTTATCCAAAAGATTTCGCTTGAAAATATCTTGCTTCTCACCTTTTAATTGCCACCACCTAATCCTTGGTGTTACTACTTGTCGACGTTTTTGGATTTTACTCATAATACACACATCAAGGACTAGGACCCTATGTTGTGTCGTTACAGCATCTCCGGGGATCACCTTATAATTTTTACAAAGTCTTCTATCTGTGTTCCTAACCAAAAGAAAATCAATCTGTGACCTTGAGGCTCCACTTTTGTAAGTGATGAGATGTTCATCTCTCTTCTTGAAACAAGTGTTGGCAATCTTAAAATCATACGCCAATGAGAAATCAAGAAGAGTTTGTCCTTCATTGTTTAGCTCTCCAAAACCAAAACCACCATGCACCCTTGCATACTGACCAGCTTCCCTCCCGACATGCCCATTAAAGTCTCCTCCAATAAAAATCTTTTCACTCTGTGGTATGTGTCAAATTAACCCCTCCAAATCCTCCCAAAATAATTCCTTAAGACTGGCTTCTGTCCCGACTCGCGGCGCATAAGCGCTAACAATATTAATAGTCTCACGTCCAATTATCATTTTTAAGGAAATAATTCTGTCTCCAATTCTGCTAACTTCTACAACGTTCTTCTTCCACTCCTTATTTATAATGATGCCTACTCCATTGCGTGCACTTACTTTTCCTGTATACCAAAGTTTGAAACCTTGAATATCCTTAGCTTCTTCTCCACGCCATTTTGTTTCTTGCAGGCAAAGGATATTGATTTTCTTTTGAATCATAACCCCTACAACCTCTACAGATTTACAATTTAATGTCCCAACATTCCAAGTACCAAATTTAATTTTGCTCTTATGGACTAACTTCTTTAGCCGCGTGCGTCCAGAATGACGCGGTAGCCCTTGCTCATTTAACACTACATCTGGGTGCCGATGCAGCGGCTCTAACTCACTTATCACTGTACTCGAGCCATGCAGCGCGTTACTTACGGGCAACGACCTAGCATTAACATTATAACGTTTATTGTCCATTACAGGAGAACTAAAGGGCGTGAAAATTTGTTTACCCTTTGTTTCAGAGCAAAAAGAACAGAAACGCTTGGGGAAGTGTCAATTATCAACTGCAGAGGCTTAACAGGGGAAGGAAGTAATCTGGTATGTTCTGGTTCTGTGTTGCCGTTTGGAACTCGCGATTGCATTGCTGAAGTGTCAATTATCAACTGCAGATGCTTAATAGGGGAAGGAAGTAATCTGATATATTCTAGTTTGAAGCATTTGTATGATTCAAGTTCGGAAATTGCCTTGATGCTAGTTTCAGTGCCATGATGTTAGGGCAACTTATACTGTGTCTCAGAATTTTTTTTTTATGCAAATTCAGATTAAATTTGTATAATTTATTGTTTTAGGATGTCTATCTAATTTCCAACAATAAAAGAGCGTTTTTTATAATTTGAACTACATTCAAGGAAGATTTGTATAATTTACCTGATAAGAAATGATTAAAGAATAAAGATAATGTTTTCTTATGCATAATTCTTTTATACACCAGAAAGAATAATAAAATTTCTTTCAACGCCACTCTTATATACAAGTTTCATCCATCCCATTATAATTTTAGCAAAATAGTCTTGATCAATTTCTTGTAATCATCATCTAGGTCCAACTTCAGACATAGTTATTCCATTGATGGAATCATGTGTTGAATTGTTTGATGAAGGCTCTTTCTGCATGAAAACTCTTCCAACAGAAAATGCAGGTTGTGTTGGCTTTGGAAGGTTCACTGAGTCACTTGCAAGCATAAGAACAACACTTGGCATTGTTGGTCTATCTGCTCCATCCTCTTGCACACACAAGAGGCCAATGTGGATACACTTAAGAACTTCAGAAGGTTCAAATGACCTTTCTAGTACTGGATCCATCAGGTCCAAGCCCTTCCCTGTACTCCAGAGCCTCCATGCCTATATATGATTATATGGTAAATGCTTTTAAGCTTAAATGAAAAGAAAATTAGGGACTTTATAGTGATTTCCCCATGAAGATATTGTGTTTAGTTAGTTACTTTTAAGCGTTTGGTTTTTGAGATTTTTCAATTAAAGTTACAGCACGTGGAGCAGTTTTAAGAAAAAAATTATTAATAATTTATTAATTTCCTAAAAGGGGAGACACTTTTTACTTTTCCATAGTCAAAAGTTGGAATTAGGTTTTAGTCTAAAAAGATAAATTGTATTTGTACTTTTCTGGCTTGAAAAAATCGTTGGACTTGTTAAGAGAAATGGTGCTAAGAAAGCTTACATATATGAGAAGGCTTTGACCATGTTCTGAAAGATAGAATCCACTATTCTTTTGCCCACTAATGATCTCTAGCAAAAGAACACCAAAGCTAAAAATGTCGGATTTCACAGAAAACAAGCCTTCCATAACATATTCTGGAGCCATGTAACCACTTTTTAAAAAAAGAAAAAATGAAAATCGAGTTAATCAATTTCACATTATGTACTCATAAGAAGATATTGGCTTCAAAAATCAAAATGGTATTATAATGGTAAGAGAAAGCACAATAAATTGGACTTACTAGGTACCCACAACTCTAATTGTGTTTGCTTGCCTTTGGTTGCCTCCAAAAGCTCTTGCCAATCCAAAATCTGAAATTTTTGATTCTTTTCTTCATCTAGTAAGATATTACTAGCTTTTAGATCCCTATGAATAACCCTTAGTCTAGAGTCTTCATGGAGATATAAAAGCCCTTTTGCAATTCCATTAATGATACTCATTCGTAGTTTCCATTCCAAGTTAGACGGCTTCTCTAGCAATACACAAAGCAACACAATTTTAAGAATAAGAAACTTTGTTGATACTCAAATGAAATGGATTAATGAGAAAATTGATGAAAATTATTTCTGTAAATATAAAATGACACCCATACCCCTAAGTTAAAAATATAACTCAAAATAGATAAGCACATATATATCCTAAAAATATAGATGTTTGTATAATTCAATAAAACTCAAGAGGTATGTGTACTTTAACTCTTTGCTTTATTAGAAACTCTTGTAAGTTTTGAAAATAACAAAGGAAACACGTATAATTTAATAAGCTTCAAAAGAAATCAATGATTTTTTTTTTATTAAATAATTTTCACAAGCAAGATTTGTGAAAAATCTATACATGCAAGATAAAAAAGTTGAGTATATAAGAGACATACTGAAGAGGTGAAAATCAAGGCTAGAATTGGGCATGTACTCATAAACAAGAAGCTTTTCATTTTGTTCAATGCAGCAAGCTAACAATCTCACAAGGTTCCGATGCTGCAATTTGGCAATCAATATCACTTCATTCTTAAACTCTGTTAATCCTTGTCCTGAAGTTTTTGACAGCCTTTTTACTGCAATTTCCTTCCCATCAGGAAAAATTCCCTTCATCCGTTTCCCCGCAAACATATGAAAGTTAGAGGCAAACAGTTAAGCTAGAGTACATCGCATCATATCTTAAGGCTTTATTTGGAATGAAAAGATAATAGAGAGGAGTTCTAAACTATGGGAGAAAACTAGAGGGAATATACATTTTTCATCCCTTTTTCCCATCAAAGGGGAGGAAAATTAAATGGAAAACCTTATGTTAGAGAGAGTCAATGAGAATGTGTTTTTCTTATACTTTATCCCCTAGTTTTCTTGCTGCTTACTTTCTTCCAACTCTAAACAAAGGGTGAAAATTTTTCAAATTTACAGCACACCCGCTTTACTTTCAATTTTGCACAGAATGTCTTTCAAAAGGATATATTACCTTATGCAGCTTTTCACCTTAGAAGCATATGGTATCCTCATTCAATAATGCAAAATTATCTAAAGATCAATAACTAATGAAAGCTTAAAATATGAGGTTAGTGCAATTATTTTTATGGGCATTCAAGTAGGGTGAAAAGCCTTCTCCTAAAAGCTAACTTTTGAGTTGAAAGAACTAAACTCACTTAAAGTTAAGGACGATCATGTTGAAATATTTTATTTATTCTTCTTGTGGGTATTAGTTGATAGTTAGAACTTATACTAGTATCTATGGCTCTGTAGTGGTTTTCATATATATACCACTGTAAAACCCTTTACAAAGAAGACCAAGGGAGGCACCGGTGAGAAGAGTGGAATATATAATTTTGAGTCCGATTAAGAGAGGTAGAGGAAGGCCTAAGAGAACACTTTTGAAAGTTATTGAACGCGATCTGTTAATTAATAATATTCCTAAAAGCTTGATAAATGATAGAGCACAATGGCGTCTTGCAATCCATGTAGCCGACCCCACCTAGTGGGATAAAGGCTTGTTGTTGTTGTTGTTGTTATTTGTTGTACCACTGTAAAACCCTTGCAAATACTGGAATCAATATCAAAATATTTTTTCCACTAAATTTGTCAGATCATATAAAGCATTTCATACAATTTCTATGTGGGAATAAGTAACTCATATACTATCACCATCAATTTCCATCTATGGAGTGCTGACGTCTTGGAAGGCACATATTGTGACACTTCATTTAACTTCTTTGTTGATTAAAACCCTCCAATCGTAGCCTTTTTTGTCATGTGGCCGACTCACAAACTCAATATCAATTGATGGGCACCTAAGTAGAGTTGAAAACCCTCATCCAAAAGCTAGCTATTGAGAAGAGAGAACTGGCTTGCTTAAATATCCTGATATTATTCCCATAATTGATCTTCATTGATTTTCAAAATTTGAAGTACAAGATTAAGCTAGAGAAAGTTCTAATATAAATAAAAAGCTATATGAGGTATGCAAATTCCCTACCTTGTAAACAGAACCAAATCCACCTTGTCCCAATTTATATTCATCAGAAAAGTTACAAGTAGCTTGAAGAATAGTTTTCAGGGACATCATAGGAAGGTCAGAACTCATAGCATCCTCTCTGTCAGTTTGATCCTGAAAAAATTCTGGATTTAATCCATGTTCCTGCATGGCTTGTTTGTCTGCATTAATGAAGTTACCAAACATTATTAAATAAAAAAATTTATATATCATTTCAATATCCTAAAAGAAATTTCTTCAAGATTTCTCATTAAGAGCTTACCTTTTTCCTTTCTCAAGTACCTGAAGTAAACTATGAAGAAAACCAGTAGAGCTAGTGCTACCACTCCACTTACAACACCGATAGCAATAAGCAATGACCTTCTGTTACTGCTTTCTTTGTCTGCAAAATTGCAAAATAAATAAGTAAAACTAAAGCCTTTTTCTTTTCTGGTTTTGTGACTTTGAAAGTAATTTTCAAGAGGTTTATATTTTTAGTTTTAAAATGTTTACTGACAATGCAAGATGCAAACAAATCTTTATATACAATCAAACATGGCTATGGAAAATGTCTTCAGGAGAATCTTCAGGAAAAGATGTTAATTTCCAATAGATAGGCAACTATGATTCCTCAAACTTCATTTTCCTCGTTAGTTTCTTTAAATTTTAGAATTCTCTCCTCCCTCAAGATTCCTAAAATAGAATGCATAGGTTTATTTCCTCCGGGTTTGGTTAAATCATCCAGCGGCTGTACAGTCTTCCAGAGAAAGTAGAAATGTGACAAGAACATCAGGTAGGTCCAACTACTCTATTTGTCTTCTCTTGATTAGATGGTACAGCCATTCCAGGAAGATCATGTTAAAAATAATATATAAAATTAATATTTAAAAATCATATTGGCTACAAGTTGCAAATAGTATAATTTGCTCTTTGAAATCTGTGTAGTAAGCAGACCCGACCTACTAGATATGTATGATGAAGTTCCACATTGAGCAATCAGGGGATTAATCAAAATTATGTAAGCTTGTGGTAAGTTCATCTAAAGTAGCTTAAGTTATTTTGGTGAAACTGATAAACCTTAGGTGTAATTAATGCTAAACTCCAATATGATTTCCAAGAGCCAAGACAAAAGGAAAATTGAGATACTAAACTCTAATACTACTACTCCTTTCAGATCTCAGACCACAAGCCTCTTTGTCCAAAATATAAGACATTGAGTAGATTTTATATATATTTTTTTCAATTATATCCTTACTTTATCATACTCCACTCAAGTAATTAATGAGTGTGTTTTCAATAAGTCAAATGTTATATCTATTCCATTTCAAATGTATGATTGGAAAGATGTCAAAATTTTTAGAAAATCAAGATTTAAACCATTTTTTTTAGAGAAACATAAATTACTTAGTAATGACTTATATTGTGATTTGGAGGGAGGGAGTATACACGAACAAACCAAATCATACCTGGCTGTGTTGAAGGAGCAATCAAGCCAGTGTCATTTGTCAAGAAAGGCTGAGTCTCATACATGACAATACAACTAGGAGAAAAGATTCTCCAGACCCTCTTGCCGTCACAGCAATTCTCAACATCTTCAAGCATATTGCTCAGACATGTTCTGCACTCTTCAGTAGTTATGTCTCTGCTGCACTGAACCCAACCATACCTTTTCTGGGTGCCATTTATGTTGAACACATGTGTGCCAAACATTAGGTTTGTCTCTGAACCTGTCTGTATCAAACCATTCATCAGAATCCTAGCATCACTGTCAAACTCTCCTGCACTTGTCAAGTTTTGTGATGCATCAAACATGGGAATCCGGGGCCTTAGTGTTAGATTGCCGAAGAAATCCTGGTTTGAGTACCTGGATTAGTACCAGCAGAGAAAATCTTTCATGACACAACTCAATAATCTAAATACATGTAATCAATCAAAATAGTGCACTAATAGTCTGATAGAGATGATAAAATTTTGGGAAAACACAACTATTTGTCCCTGTACTTTTTGCTGCTCTAGGTCCTTATAGTTTTTTTAGTCTGCAACGTTAGTGTCTCTATTTTTATATGTCCGAATGGACAATGATGTCGCATTAACAATGTTAAATCATTTGATAGGTAACTAAAAATGTTAAATCTTGTGTTTTTTTTTGGACAAAAAATGTTAAATCTTGTGTTTAATGTTGAAATAAGAAAGAAAGAGAAAGAACAACCACAAAATACATTGGAAAAAAGATCACTGAAGACTGTTCCCAACTACATTAAGACAAAATAAACTCCAACATCAACATTAACAAAACATAGTAATCAATGGCTTCCAATTCAGAAAAAAATTAAAAAGAGTATCTTGGCCTGGTGAATGAAACCAAAGCAGGGGTGAAGAGACGAGTAAGAAGTCTTCAAAAACAAATTAAATAAAACCTAGCCTCCATATGACACACAGAGAAACAACAGATAATTGAACACTGTTAACACTATATTATCATCTCTCTGAGCATATTTAGAAATAGAGGGACTAATATTGTAGATGATAAAAACTATAGGAACTAGGAGCAATTAAAATGAAGTACAGGACTAATAACAAAACATAATAAAACTATTGGGGACCAATAGTTGTGCTTTCCCTAAAATTTTCATTCCATATATTCAGAGTATGAAGTTTGATAACTTTCTTACTAGAGTTGAATAATTATAGACCTATATATATACATACATATAAAAGTACTTACAATATTGTAAATCTAATGGGATATACCTGAGAAGGCAAAATGGGTACCATAAAGCTGCAGTAGCATTGTTGGGACAGTGTTGTTGGATCAATCTGCTAGAATCTTGCACACAAGATTGACACAGACTTGTATTCACATCCCCTCTACAAAGATAAAGCCCATACACCATATCTTCTTCATCGCTGCCTGCCGTTTTGTTACCAAACCCATTGCTGGTTGAAGCATCAGAAGAAAGTGAAGATATGAGACTCTTGAAGTTGCTTTGGTATTTGCTTGATGGGGTTAATCCACTTTGATCCAAACATGCATACCGGTAATCGAGAGGCTCTGTGTTTTGTTCTGCAAGAAAATTACTGTTTTCTTGTAGTCTTGGTCTTGGAGATGACTTTAGTATTGTTGAGCTAAAGCTTGTTGCATAGGCCGCAATGAATAAGGAGAGAAAGTGAAAGAAGAATGAGAGATGAAAGGAGGGTTTGTGTTTCATGATTGTTATTGTCATGATAGTTTGTGAGATTTAATTTTGTGGAAGTTTTGAGGAGGGATTTATTAAGTTTTATTATAAAAGATCATAGAATTGTCAAAGGTTTGAAATTGGTGAGCCGTCAAGGAAAGTAAATTTTGATGTTCAGATGTAGGTGATGGGTTGATTATTCTAATCATGCTGAGAATAGATTTTTTTTTTTTTAAATTGTTGTTGGTAGAAACGGGGACAAAAAATTCGAAGATTAATAATCATGAAAATAATGATTGTGTATTCACTTGATATATATACAGACATAAAAAAGAATTCAGTAATTGATCATCACTAATTAATTTAAATTTGAGTTGCATAGAACTTCAAATGAGAGAGAAGCTCTCCCAACTATTTTTTCCCCTTTACATATAAGAAACTTTAGGCCTTGTTTAAAATCCTATGTATTCAACTCAACGCAGGTAATTTATATTTTATTTCTAAATTTTCCTTGTTTTTTTGGCCAAAGGAATAGCATTAGAAAAAAAAAAATTTCCTCGTTAAGCTCACTTTCAGAATTTTTATTCTTAAATATAATTATTATTTTGATTACTCTACTGTTGAGAGTCAATCAGCCGAAGTTAAACTTCTTTTTCCTTGGATTTAGGTCATAAAAATTTTTTGAGTAATTCATAGAATAAATTTTAAGAAATATTACAATTACAATAGTCTGAGATTCAAATTATAAAACTTTATAGAATATGAATTATTATAAAAGGAAATTTAAAGAAAAGAAAAATGATTAATGATGATATTTAATTAGTACATGGTGAATCTTGGCTGATTAGTTATTTTTTATTTTATCGTCCAAGATCCTGAAAAATCTAAAAGTATTATACCAGCCACCCACATTAATCAGGATCCTCACCATGTGTTACCGTTATTACTAATATTTTTTTATATTTTTATTTAGCATGACTAGATATTTCAGGATTCAAATCCGATACCTCAAAATAAGATAATTCGACCCCCTCGAACTAATTCAACGCAACGCCCCTTAGTATCATTACTAATTACTAATACTAATTAATAATCAGATGATTTTTAAAATAATTTCTCCTCAAACATGCATGCCAGGTTGTCAAAAAACAAAAAAAACAAAAAAGTTGTACTGGGCCACAATATGAGAAATTTAATTCATTGAAAAGTCAAAAACGGCCACGTGTGCGTAGTTCAATTGGGAGACAACGGTGAAAAGTACACGAAGCTAAAGATTCAAATTATAAAGATGGTTAACAATTAAAAATTAAAACATTATTATCCAAAAATTAAAAATTCAAGGATTAAAACATAATGTGGAAGGTAAACTGTTTTCCAAAAAAAAAATCAAAATAATTTAGAATGTGGTTGAACATTAAACTGCGTTTGAACGTCAACAAGCCTGGCTTAAAATACATGCGCGTTCTTAAAGGACAAATCATGTTATCTTGTCTCATTGACTTCAGTTTTGCCTTTTACTTTTTATATTATGTCATTTTTATTATGCAATTTTCAAATAAATTAAAGTATAAACCTATGCTTTGCATAGAATTTAAGATAAATCGTTCAATTTATAATTTATAAACCATGCAACTTGCATTTTGATCAAAGAAAAAACAAACTACATAAGCATTGTTAATTAGTTGTAAAGTGTTAAAAACTTCAGAATATAAATGTTTAATAAGCTGTACCTTTTATAAGAGTTATTTGTAATGTTATTTGGATAAAACTATGTTTATTTACAAAGCAACTTTTTGTTTTAGAAAGGTGTATAATTTTTCATGGAAAATTAAAGGAGATGGTCATGCAATTAAATCAACTTTTAAAAAAAGTTGCCCCTTTATAATTCATTTAAAAATGTCTAATATTTTAAACTTACATGTAATATAATTTTTTTTTCAATATTTAAAAATGGTGCATTAGGTATACAATTATTAAAAAAATTAACTTTAATTATTAATTAACTGAAAAAATTACAAAATATGACCTAAGAAATTATACAAAAAGATCCATAAAATTGTAAACAAGTAACCTATGCAAAAATTAATATCGATTAAGTTCTTAAAATTATGGTAAGTGAAAAATCATATTTTGACATTCTATATTGGTAAGAAATAACATTTTTATTCTATATTTATATGTTAGAGGACTTAATTGATATAACTTTCTCAATTCTCATAAAGTACTTATATTGTATAATTTTATAGATTATTATCTGCAATTTTTGAAATCTTTTTTTTATAATTTTTAAATCAACGAATGATTAAAATTGACATTTTTAATTGTCAGATATTCAATACATTATTTTTAAATATTAAAAAGAGAAATTGCATTATATGAAATCAAGGACGAACCTACACGCCCTTATAAGGGGGGCGCTATGTCTGATGCACCCCCCCCCTCCAAAAGAAAAATCATCATATATTCTTTTTTTTTTTTTCCAATTAAAACAAAGCCACACTGCATTATCCTTACAGGTATTACATGCATACAATACAATATGCATACATTTTTTTTATTTGTACTTTTTTGGTCCTATCTATAATGCAAAAAGAGAATACTTATTCTAATCTTATTTATAAATACCTTAATAAATATTGTGTTTATTTTTATCATTTTGCTCATATTAAATGTTGAAAATGATATTAAATACTAGAATATTTTATTTTTAAAATATATATATTTAATAAAGATAAAGTTAAAAGCCTATTTAATTTTTAGATAAAGTTCATGAAGTTTAAAATTTTTTTTAATTTCTGTGAAAATATTAGGTGTAATTTATAAATAGGACTGAAGGGAATATATTTTAATAAAAAAATATATATTATATTTAGTTATTTAAATATATGGTATCTTGTGTTTTTTTTTCAATTTTCTTGAAATACTTATGTAATTATACTTCTAATAATCAATATAATAATATATTTTAATTAACAAAATTAATTTTAAAAATTAAATATACATTTATTTGTTAAAAAAATTGGCCCCCCTGATTTTTAAAGCTGGTTCTGCCCCTGTATGAAAGTGAAAGAAAGTCTAGTATACTGGATATTTGTAAACGAACAGTTAATGGGCAAAAATAAAAGAATTGTTAATTTAAACGATAAAATGTATTTATCATACTCTCAGCATTGATTGAACAACACACACACACACACACAATACACTTGACTGGTACATAGAAATTCAAGAAAGGCATTTCTTTTTCAATTTTTGTCCTACTTGAAACATAGGAACATAGGAATCTCATTCTTAAATGATTAATTTTCGTCAATTTGTATAAACTATAAATTGCATATTTTTAAATATTTTTTTCGTTCTGATATTAGACATAATTTAAAGCAATTTAAAATTAAAAACATAGTAGCGTAACAAATCAACTACTTCCAAGATATAAAAGGAGAGTCAAATACCAGAAACAGAAGCAACGACAGGCCTCCCTTTGCATTATATTGTTGTCCGCCACATACCTTGAAATATTATGTCGTCCTAGAATTAGTTGAATATAATGTTGGACAAAAGGCAATGAGATAATATACAGATATTACATTCACAACATTCCGTCTAGATCATTGAGTCCAATCCTATTTATAAGACTATTTCTTATGATCTTTAATACATGACCATTTTTAAAAAATTATTAAAAACATTTATGAAAAAACAATTCTAACCATGCTTCTCATAATTGGAAAAGAATTTTCATTTTTTTTTTTTACATTCACACATGAGTAACTCTAAGAAATTGTAGAAAAAATTAATATGCAATCCTTTATAGTGTTCTTTAAACTTGAATTGGATCCCTGCAAAAATTTTTTTAATCAAGCCTTTATAATTTGAATTATTATATACGTTAATACCTAAATATTAAAATTAATAATGAATTATTAACTTTTTGAAAACAAAAATACTTTTGAAGTTTACAGAAAATTTGATTTAATATTCTTAGCCAAAATCAAACAATTACAATTTGATTTGATACACTTTTTACATTTTTATTAACTATTCATAAAAATTTTACTCCCTTCATTTAAAAATATAAGGTATTTTTAACTGAATCTCACTCTTAATAAAGTAGTTATTTACTTTCCAACTAACCCTATCTTTTCATATTTATCTATATTAAACACCTTATAATAACTATAAAGTCATTATCAATAGAAATATTTAAAAAAAAAAGACGATAATTACAATTCAAAAAACTAAAAATCTCTAATATTTTATAACATTTAACTTCTCAAAAAATGCTTTATATTGTTAAACGAAGGGAGTATATGTTTAAAAATTATTTAGAAGACAACCTAACTATTTAAATTTGGAGTTATAAAAATTGTGTAATCTTTTTTTTGGACAAAGTATAAAAAAATGTGTAATTAATTCTAAACTTATATAATCTTTTAGTAAAAATGTAAAAGTTAATATATTTTTTTCCAAAGAAATTTTTTTTAAGGATTTTATCCTTCAAGGATTAAAAAATCTAATAGATCAAACTATAAAACTTCAATTAAAACAAAATAAAGTGCAGGAGTAGAATTCAAAATTAAAGAAAATTATAAAAATATGCAAACATATTTTCCCAAAATACATTTTAAAGCCAATTTTAACTTGTTTTCTTGATCTATATAGATCAGTTAATAAATTTTTATATCACTTACCATTAAATTCATAGAGATAATGATTCGAAGTTTATTCATCCGATTAAAATCGAACTGTGGTCAACCCCATCATAATTAAGAGCTGTCCCATTGTCATTTGATTCACTGGGTCTTTGATTACATCAATTGGTCCAATCTAGTTTAGTTTTCAGTTTATATCTAACAAAAGTCTATTTGTTGGATTTGGCAAACACACATCCTAAATGTGGTTTGAATTTGGCTTGAAGCAGATCGAAACATCAGATCAGATAGTGAACAATATAATATCAGAGTCATTAAACAAAAAGCATCGAAAAATATGTTGGGCAAAAGAAAACGCGCAATTCATACAAGTGATCAAGTTCTTAAAAAAAACAAACAAAAACCAAAACAAAAAAAAAACAAAAAATAGTTAGACCTTAAGACTAAGTTGGCAAATGTGGCTTCGAAGAATTAAAAAACTAATTGAAATATCAGATAACGAAATATATAATATCACAGTCAAAATGGTTAGAATTGAATATTATTGTGTGCAAAAAGATAAGGAGGGAATAAATAGAAAGATCAACAAGCAATACAAACAATTGGGAATGAACACGAAACTGGCTAATATAGTTTCAAAGAAATTACAAAAATTGAAACAACATATAGGTAAAGATCTATTTGTTGTTACTTACCTTTGAAGCAACCAAATAAATTTAAGTAAGGGTATGTTTGGATGCATGAAGAATTGAATTTGAATCAAATAATTCCTTTGGATACATGGAAGTCTATTATCCAAATATAAACCCATATTTTATTACCGCTTCTTTATAATTTCAAATTTCTTTTAAACCCTAATTATTTGAAATTTCAACTACTTCAACTTTGTTGTTTTCTTTATGTTTTCACTATTGGTGACTTTTACTCACTTCTCCTCTTATCTCTCGTACTTGTCTTTCATCGATTGAAAAAATGGAGGTAAGTTCATCAATTTCAATCTTCTATTTCTGCTTCAAATATCATCTCATTTCTTTTCTACCATCAAAATTTTTTACAAAACAAAAGATTTTAAATATATGAATTTTAAATTTAAGATTTAAATCTAAAATTCTAATTCAAATCTATCAATCCACACATTACCTAAGTAAAAGTACAAGCTCGTGTCTGAGTCAATTGAGTAAGAGGCAGAAGACTCACCATGCTTTCGAGAATATCGAGTGCCCTTAGGTAAGAGTGAGGAATCTAAAGCATCTAGTTAAAAGGGTCAAATCAAAGCTCCTAGGATCCTCATCATGCCTCTTAAGACAATAGAATTATCTTGCTATGGTTGAGCCTGAAAGATCTTCCAAGGAAAACGTTTGAGATGAAGTTTATATTTGGTCTCACGTCCTTCATCATGACTAGCACGCATTGCTAGATTGAGAAATGCTTATCAATTTAAGTCAAAACGCCCTGGGTTCACATTGCCAAGCCGTTTCATGCAGGTTTGAAGATTAATTTAAGTCAAAAACTCATCCACAAACAGCATTTGCCTTGTTTACCCAAAATTTCATTCTTCAACACTCTGCGCGTCTTCCTGGAGAGGATTTTAAAATTGGGTTCCATATTTGCTTCCGTGGCAGGTTGGCTGCGCAGCAAAAAACGGTAAGAAACCTTTTAAATCCGTTGCTCCAATCTGAAGTTTGACAGGAAATTGATAGTCCCCAACCACGATTTCACAGTTTAAGAATTCATTAGACACAGAATTTCTGTTTTCATCTCATTTTCATCTGAACCAGACATGGGCTTAGTTATTGAATCCAGCATGGAATATATGTCTCTTATTTCTGGGTGAGATGGATCACCAACAAGAAACTCATGGAGAATACCATTCACCTCGATGGCACTACATCCAGGAAATTTTTTGATTCCCATATCTTTCATCTTGCTTCTCACCTTACTCGCGTCTTCCCATCTGTCAGCTGAAGCATAAATGTTAGCCAGGAGTGCATGCAGACTGGAATCAACATATTCAATATTTGCTAGTTGCTGAGCAATCCTTTCACCCATTTCAATATTGCCATAAAATCTGCAGGCACTCAGCAAAGCTCCATAAAGTGGAATTATCGTCTCATTGTTTTGATCTGGTAGCTTCTTAATTAACTCCTCTGCTTCATGTAACAGTCCAGCTCGACCAAGAAGATCAATGAAACACCCATAGTGTTGCACCTTGGGCTCAATTTGATATGTTCTTTTCATGGAATAAAAGATCTTTCGCCCTTCTTCTACCAATCCACCATGACTGCAAGCACTAAGAACACCAATAAAGGTGATGTCATCAGGTCTAGCCCCAAATTTTTTCATTTCTTGAAAGAGCTCAAGTGCTTTGCTTGTCTTGCCATTGATTGCAAGACCACAAATAATAGAAGTCCATGTGGCTGTATCCCTTTCCCTTAACCTAAAGAAAATCTCCAAAGATTTCTCTACGCAACCGCATTTTGCATACATTTCAATAAGTGCAGTACCGACCACAACATCCACTGTCATTTTGCTTCCATCTATGTAACCATGAATCCATTTGCCTTGCTCTAGAGCTCCCAACTGAGCACAACCTGTAAGGAGAGTAACAACAATAAATTTATCTGGTTTGATTTTTCTCATTTGCATCTCTTGAAATAATGCAACTGCCTCATCAAAGCAATTGAATTGCACATAACCATTAATCATAGCTGTCCAAAGAACAATATCCCTTGTTGGACTTTTCTCAAACAAATGTTGAGCTTCATCCAGTTGACCACAATTTACATACCCATTTATCATACTTGTCCAACAAACCACATTTTTCACAGGCATCTTATCAAAAATTTCCCGGGCCATACTTACACAGCCACCCTTGCAGTACATGTCCACCAATGCATTGCCCACTATAGTTGTTAAAAGGAATTCATTTAAGACATAACTGTGAATTTCCTTACCAAGGTCCAAATCTCTCAACGCTGTACAAGCTGATAGAGTACTTACTACCGTAGCTTCATCAGGCTTCTCATTGCTTTCGTCTAGCATCCTCCGAAAAATATTAATGGCTTCTTTGAATCTCCTACACTTTACATAACTTGTAATCATGATATTCCAAGAAACCTTATCTCTCAAAGGCATATTTTCAAATAACTTTTTGAAACTATCTACTTTACCCAATTCAGCATACATTCTCATCAGTGAGTTACAAACATAAGTATCAAACTCAAGCCCAGTCTTCACTATGAAGCCATGAACCTTCACAGCTTCATTAAACTCTCCAATACAACCAAGAGCCTTGAGAACAAATGGATATGTATAATTATCTGGCCATAAACCATCTTTCCTCAGTTGACTAAATAGGGAAATAGCTTCTCTGAAAGTGCTCTTTTCCACAAAGGCTTTGATCATAAGATTGTATATAAACAATGATGGCTTGTGAATGTAGTTGAAGGTTCTGCATGCATAGTGTAAGTCTCCAACAGATGAGTCAGCACAGATGACCATAAGCTTGCCGAGGGTGTCCATGTCTTCATGTAGACCCACAAAAAACATCTGAGTCTGAATTTGCTTGAGCTGAAACATTGATTTGCAGTTTTTGAGAAGGCCAATGCATGCTCTCTTGCCCAGTTTTCTTCTGTGTGTTGAGGTAGAGAACTTGTGTGACTTAATAAGCAAAAGAAAATTATTGCTATATATAGGCATTATGCGAGGTAAAGTTGAACAATGCAAATAAATTTGTGAATGACAAAATTTTGACCTCATCCCTTCATTTCAGATCACAGTTCAAACGCTCATACCCTTCCTTTTGTTTTTTTATTGTTTTCCTCACATGGCATCCTTGAAGCATCATTGATTTCCTTCTCAGGCCAACTCTGGCTGACCAAATTTCCAGATGTCATAATGATCAAGAAATAGAAGAAAACCCCTAAGGAAAATCCACTGAAAAATCATGCACAACAGGGAAACAAATTTTTCAGCTGAAATTTTAGTAGCATTTAAGGTGAGCACCAACAAAGAAGATACTACTTGAACTAAGCAGAGATATGAAATCAGAGCATGTTTCAAATTTGCAAGATTGAAAAATCTTCAACTGTACTATCTCAACTCAGGAGCATACCATCAAGTTTTTTTGTCAGTTTATGGGCTTACAGAGGAAGAGAGGAGGGAGGCAGAGTGGGAAAGGGAGAGAGTGAAGACACAATAAAATAAACTGTTACATCATCAATTCATGTCTCCCTTTATAAAACAGCCACCAAAAGAACTCTAAAATAAACTAGAACAATAATCTACATTAATAAACTTGTAATATATTGAGTTGAGTAGAAGTTACAAAGGATGGAACTATTTTCTTAATTCTCAACAATAATAAAGAACTTTTTTTTTTAGGCAAGAAATGTTTGGAATCTGAATGTAGTGGAGTCAATTATGAGGAGAAGAGAGGGGCCAAAGTTGAATGAAGACAAGTGTCGAGTGAGAAGAAATATATGAGATTGGCGCCGAAATATATAGAAGAGCAGAGCAGAGATCATGCGAGGCTGAAGTAGACCAAAGAAACGTGAGGCCACTGGATGACAATGACACTGTTGTCACTGGCCATTGAACGTGAAGAACCGAAAGTTTGAAGAGAGATCAAAAATGAAAGACTAACCTCAGCCGCCTTGGCAACTGACAAGTAACAATACTTGATGTTAAAAATCTAGCTGCACAAAGGGTTCTCCAAAAGGTTCAAAAATATCCTTATGTTTTTTCTCCAAGGAGAACTTGCCTAAAATTATGAATTTTTATATTTCTATATCAACGTAACTATAAGTCTATCACTGAACCAAAATATAAAATTGATCCTATTTATCACATTTCTGATAGTTTGTTCTTCACATACTGATTCAATATCTTCTATATCAGATATAAAACTAATCTTTTTCTTTTCCCTTGGTCCAAAAAGCATCAAAAGATTAAGACATATACAGTACACATACAAATACAGCATTATTACATAAAATCACACTATTATTGAAATTAATACAGTATATATACTCTAGAAGTTACAACTAACAAGGCCCAATTGCACATTATTACTACCTCTATATGGAGGTGAGAAGGACAGTGAGGGCCAGAAAGTATCAAAACATATATAGTCAAACAACAAAGACTCAGTTTATTCTTTAGATTAGCGTCAGCAGCACCAAGTAGGCAAGCAAATCATTCAATGAGTTTCCAAGTATCAGAAGGAGGCACACTATACATAGAACAGAATGGAGCAGCATAAACTAGAACCAGAAATTGATACTCATATTTATAATCAGAAAGGCTGAGTTATTACCGTTAGCAGAACCTAATATTCACAAAATTCATAGTCATTCACAAGAAATATTCCAGCTAGAAAAACATTAACAGGCACTCATGCATCATAGGACTTGAGAATGATGACCTCTTGCAGGAATCAGAATCAATAAGCAGGTCCATAATCATGAAGGTTCATTTCAGATGAAAACAAGAGGAGTACCTGAAAAAGAACAAGAGGAAGGATCAGCAGCAAAAGACACATTTTGTATGAAAAACAAGGGCTAAGGAATGAATGAAACACAGAGAGTAAAAAGTAGGGGGGAAAATAAGTGAGATTGTGAAAAGAATAATACTGATGGTGCCATGAATCAAAAGATGACTCAAGATCATGACAGAAAGGGAGGGCATGGAGGGGAGGGGAGGATTTTTATGTTACCTTCTTTGATTTTGTTGGAGGGGAGGGGATGAGAGTTTTTTAATGATCTTTTGTTTGGTTTAGGAGGGGAGGGGAGTGGAGGGGAGGTAAGAAGTAATTTACTATTATACCCTTACATGAAAGATTTTGTTTTGAGCAAATAACAGAAGTCAGTATAAATTGCTAAAAGACCATCTAATTAAAACCAAAGAACATTCTCATTATCACTTGCTTCTTAATATTATTATCCTGCTCTTTAGCCACCCTCTTTGTCCCCTTGCTGCAAGCTCTTATTCATCTTCACTAGCTCTGTCTGCTCCACACATTCGTTTATAAATTTCATCCATGCATGAAGCGCAGCTAATAGCACCAGCCAAATAGCCATCAAAGTTTACATGATTGAACCTTAGGTAATTGGCTCCCTTTATACAGGCAATTAGCTCCCTGTCAACATCAGTTGTTACGAATTTCCTTGCCAATCAGTGTCACACAAAATAGCATTATCAAGAACCCGACCCATTAATATTGATCATGGTTCCTGCAGTCACATGATCATCTTTCACAATTACATTATAAGATTTTCACCCACTGAAATATATAGATGTAAAATTTTTTTTAAAACAATTTAAAATAAATCCACACTATTATAAGATAAAAGGTAATCTTGCGGCTAAGTTCGCACAGGTTAATTGGGTTTCAATACACTCAGTGGAAGAAAGAATAGCCACTTAATCAAATAGGAATTATAACCCAAGTTAAAAGCTATATGATGATTACAGAACTGAATTGGATGCGAAATCTGAGAAGACCCACTTACTTGTTAAGTCATAAACCTGAAAAGACCCATATATTGTTCTATGGTGAATTAATGTTCAGTGAAGAGGGCTTCGGAGCAAAAGGGGGAGAAAAAGAAGAAGAGAAATCATGATAGTGAGAGGAGCAGAGGGAAATGACAGAAAGCTCAACATAAAAAACAGAAATGGGTCTGCGAAATCATATTCATGAGAGAAATCAGATCCATAAACACCATTCACATCCATTTCAAGATGACGGAAAACATGAGAATGACCATAGCAAGAGGAGCAGAGGGAAACTCACCGGAAAACAGAGACACAACGACAACATGAGGAGGCTCGTACAGCGCACGGCGAAGGCGAAGGCGAAGGCGCAGGCGGGAGCGAGAGGTGGATGCAGAGTGAATCTATAGGAACCGGATCCTCTGAGCCTCCGCCTCCCTCGGTGTCTCTCAGCGTCCATCTGCTGTGCGTTCATCAAAATACTCCCATTGCACAATCATGACTTTTAAAAATGTAGATATTGTTTGTTTTTAAATAGTAAAAAAATGCATTTTAAAAGATTATATAAGGATAAAAATAGGCAAGATTAGGCTAATTTTCTTTTTTTGGCCTGAATATTAGGCTAAATTTTAATTAAATAAGTTTAGCTTATTTAAATAAATAGACTCAACTATAAGCTTAAACTAAACCTTTTTGTTAAACAAGTCAGGTCAAAATTTAAACTGGTCATCTTATAAGTCTTTATAAACCTATTTAATTATTTTAATATTGTAATAAAATTTATTTTAATTTAATTATAATATTATATATATATATATTTATATAAGGAAAAAATAATATTTACTTATATAAATATAATATACAAATATAAACAAATAGACCTATAAGTCAAGTTTTAAAATAAATAGATTTGACTTATTTACTTAAACAGATTTGATTGAATGACCTATCAAAATTTTGGCCTAATCTATCTTTTCTGTTTTTTTGTGGGCAAATAGCCTACCTTAAGCTTATAATTAGCTCTATTTATATAAATAGTATAGGCATGTATTTGTCAAAATTTGGCATGGCCTGACTAATAATTTAAACTTACAATTAAATTTATTTATATAAATAAGCTATGTTTGTTTAGTAAAAAGTTAGCTTAGTCTGACCTATTTCTATCCTAACATGATCTTTTTTTAAAATACGCTTTTTACTATTTAAAAACACAATATTTATTTGAATTTTTAAAAGCCATGTGATTGTGTATTGTGGGTATTTTGATCATCTGAACGAACAAGATATGGACATTGAGAGATGCTGAGGGATGTCAACATTGGAAGGATTCGATTTTGAATCGATAGCATTCTTTTGTTATTTTTTCCAACTATAGTCAGTTGTGGAATATAGCAAAACTTGTGAGGGCAGATTATTCAACAAATTTAATTTCTCTTAAAAAAGCCCAATTTGTGGGGACTAAAATGAGGGAAGAGGAAAAATTTTTCCAAATTTCTCAACCAATTGAGGGAGTCTTTCCCTTCCCTCCCTTCCAAAACCCTCAAACCAAACACATCATACAGAAGGAAAGCTAGCAAGAAGGAACATGAACTTAGAGATCATGATGAATGTCAAGTTGGATTTGGCTTCTCTTCATTTTTTTTTCTCTCTACTCTCCCTTTTTTTTTGGTTGAAGAAGGATAATTCATTAATCATTCAAAGCTGATTCATTAGGGAAATCATTTGACAGTAAACGTAGAAAGGGGGAGGGGTAGGCAAATCCTATCCAAAAGGGCACACCCTTTTATGACATTCTTCAGCTAACCAATCACTAGCTAAATTAGCATTTCTAAATATCCAAGACAAGGACCATCCGGAATTATCCAAAAAGAAGCCACAAATATCAGACAAAAGCGTGGCACAATTTCAATTAGTATAGTTAGAGTTAGACAAAGTAGCATCCACAAGTAATTGACAATCAGATTCAAAAGCAATAAGATTTAGATCCTGGGCCAAAGCAAGCTGAAGAGCTTTGTAAAAGGCAAAAGGTTTGCTCGAAAATGTCGAAGTGGCTATGATCTTATCTCCTGAGATGAGGATAGGCTTCCCAAAGTGGTTTCTGAAAGGAATACCAATGCCAATTGAGTTAGATAAGACAAAAATTAGCGTCAACATTACATTTTGTTGAATTAAGCTTTAGGAGGGTGCCAATTCTCTTTTCTCCTAGCATCAGTGGTATCGTTAAAGTCTTTCAAATTGTCTCCAGTCAAACCATTAACTCTCTATAATTCAAAAAGGGAGTCCTCAGCATGTGTTGCAATATCCCAAGGACGAAGAGGTCTTTGTCAAAGCACTAGGCACATCGATTTTTCCAAATATGCTAGCATGTCATAACCACAAGAGCCAAATGCCATTCATTAGTGCATCCAAAAAGAGAAAAGTCTAGAAACCATTTGTCAAAATGAGAGACATTAAAAATTATCAGAGTGAAGGCCAAGAGAGCTCGTGAACCATAACTTTTAGGACTAGTTATAGAGTAATAGCAGGTGCTCGCAAGTTTTAAGAAGATTATTGCAACAGCAACAACAAAGAGGGTTTGATCTATAGTTTTGCTTCGATAAATTCTCATTAGAAGGTGCAGCATGATTGAAGAGTCTCCACAGTGAATGCACCATTTATACTTTTCACTAGAATCCTCTATCGTTGAGAGGTCGTCTTGAAAGAGGAATGCTATGGATGGCTTGAATTACCTCGTCAAATAAAAATTCCTTAATAAGAGATAAATACTAACCACTATTAGTGATGAGCATGTCAACTTTTAACTCCTCAGCTTCTGGAATTAGGAATGGTGATGACAGCTTGAATCAATTGATAATGGGAATCCCTCTCCGCTTTCCATTTCAATGATTGGGTCAAAATTTTGAATGGTTACAATTTTACATTTTATAAAAATAAATTTTTATTTTTTATTACAATTCTAAATCTTGAATTGTAGTTTAGATCAAATTTATTATATTTTAGTATATTTTAAATTTATTTTTTTATTTTTCATAATTTCACATTTTAATATTAATTTTATAAAATATTAAATCCTAACCACTCAAAATTCGATCCAATGGTTGAGAAAAGAAGTGAAGAGGAAATGGAGAGGAAAGAAATGGAGAGAAGCTCAAGTTATAAGGTTCTAACATCCAAGAATAACAACACAACAGCATAAATCAATTCTAAAAACTAAAATCGTAATTTTATGAAAATATATCAAAACATTTCTACTACATGTCAAAATTAATTATAAATTTAAAATAATAGTTTTCTTTAAAATACCCTAACACCCTATGGGTTGAAATAGGCCAGACTCTAATTAAATGGCCTACAATCTTGTCTAGTTGGGCTTTGCCCTATTTAATAAACAAACGAACGTAAGGGCTATTTATGCAAGGCTTGACCAAGGTAAGAGCTAAGAATATAGGCAGGCTTGACTCTTATAGGCTTGGCTCTTAAGGGCCTGAATCCTAAAGCTTGGTTTCTCATTTTGAGTCTCATTTCTTAAACCTAGCTCTTATGTGAAAAGTTCAGAGTCGGGCCTACAAGCCCTTTTTCAAAAAAATAAAAAATTTAAAATAAAATTAAACATTATAAATTAATTAAAATATTTTAAAATTAAAAAAATTAAAATCCTTATAATTTTTTAGAAATTAAACAACACACATTTAAAAGTCTAGTAATAAAATTTAAATCTTGGTTAAAAGACAGTTAATTTTTTATAAATACACAAACATAATAATTATAGAAAAATAAAAAAATATTAGGAATTTTATACTATATACTGATATTTATTAAATTATATTAAATTAATTTTAAAATAAATGATAATATAATGCTTTTAGGATCAAGTGAGTAGGTCATTGCCTTCAAACACGTGTTCCACCAAAGAAAATAATAATAATAATAATATAACAGGACTTGAAAGGTCGTCCAAGCCCGAGCTCTTTTTTACAAGGCTCATCAGGGCCAAGCCCTCAAGCCCGATCATTTTAAAAAAAATTATTTTCAAAGCCCGAACCCTTATTTAAACAAGGCCTCCAAGCCCGGCCCTCCAGGCCCAGCTCTTATTCCTGGCTATGCACAAACATTGATACTTGTAATATTGATAATTTTATTTTTTTAAATATAATATTTGATATGTTTTTGATACATGTATATATATACAATCAAAAAAATATTAAAAATATAGGGCCTATTTGACAACATGTTCTGGGAACAGTTCGGTTTGGTAACATATTTTCAAAAAGTGTTTTAGAAAATAAAATATTATTCTGGAGAACAAAAAAAATAGAAACAACTTTCAAGTATTCTGGGATTATTGTTTTAGAGAACAAGGGAGAATGAGTAAAACACTTATTTTTATTGTTTTTTTCTCAGAACATGTTTTACAAAATACTAGTTCTTAGAACAATAAAATAAAAACAATTTCAAATAATTCCATAATTTCAATTCAAAAACTATCCAAACTAGCATATATATATATATATATATATCCTTTATAGTAATACCAAGGAAAACATAATCATTAATTTTATTTTTATTATATCTATACCTATTTCCTATCGCTCTTGTTAATTTGTATAATATCAACATCTTCTCTTCCTCAACTATCATCTGAAAAGAGGATAGCTTCTATATCTGGTTTATCTAGACATAAGTTTGTCACTCAAAATTCTAGCACCATCAAGTTCATCCCATTCATCTCCACTAATGTCCCACATTTTAGACTTGCTTTGTTTGTATTCTTCACTTTTCCTAGCCAAGAGTCACAAATTAGTATCAACTCACAATCTAAAAGTATCATATATACATATATATTAAAAATTAATTTTTTAATTAAAAAAATAATATTATGATAATTTAAGAGTACATATCAAAGAATCATCAGCGAGTATGCTACCAATGCAAACACATGAGGCAATTTGAAGCATTGATGCTTCATAGGTATTTATCATACAGTCCATCCTAGATTATTTCTATTTTTTTACCCTAAGTTGAATAGAGATTGGCCCCTTACTCCTTGTGTCCTTTGACCTTTGTTTCTTCAAATCTTAAAGCTAAAGAGACTATGAACATTTGCTCAAATGTTGAAACCCAATCTCATTGTTACTCACACTTCATCACCATTGCTAGTGTAAAGTCCCAACTCAATCCAGACTTTACCATTTCTAACCACACAATCATAATACAATCATAAACCAATATCAAAGTAATAGTCCTTTATTTGTTTTCAACTTGTGAGATCTCGACTTCTTTAAACATATATTCAAATAAGAGGGCTAGCGGAAGTGCAAACACATTTATAAGACTCAACAAGATACAACATCTTAACCCTAAAAAAGGGCCATGTGCCGCGGCTTGTACCACATGTGCTACAACATGTGATATAGTACAACATACTCTGGTTCTATCTATGCCATGCATCGCGATGGGCACATCATGTGTTATGAT